AAAAAAAAAAAACACTGCTCAAGGGGAGTATGGTTGATAAGCATTATTTTGTAAAGTGTTAACGCAGTAATGCTCAAGCAAGGGATACCAGCACTTACAGTTACCTGGGGGTATGTAGGAAGTTTGTGGAGTAGGTCAGCTAATTTTAAAAAAAGAAAAAAAAGAAAAAGAATACACACTTGATGAAAAATATATCCACATACTTGTGTTAAGTACCTGTTTTAAATAGTAATGATTTAGGGAAAATTCTTGTGTTTAGGAAGACTTGGATTATACTGCACAAGTTGTGTGAAAATTTGTAAATGGAGGTTTTGCTGTTTTTAAACGCAGCTTCCAATGACTTCAATTCATCAAGAATTTTTCTTCATTTTTGAATTTGTTCACCCTGGAAGCATGTGAGAAACTAAATTTCCGTCACAACTTCAAGTTAACACCAGGTGAATAACTGATATACAAATAAAGACAAAAAGGAAATCACAAATAGAATTTCAAATTAGCTTGTGGTAGATCTTTAACATATTCATTGTCCAAATGATCAGTAATCATCTGGCTGCAGTAGGCAGATGGTACAGTCATATACACCTTGATTTTAAGTGTGTGGGGACTAGTTAGCAAGAGGGCAGATAAGCTAAAAAAATAAAAAAGTTTAAACATCCAGCTTCACCACTCCAAGAGGCAGCAGTACCAAAACAAACTTGACTGAATCTATTGACAAAACAATTAGTGAGACTAAGTCCTGACAGCTCCATTTTATAAAGAAAATATTATAACAATATTTACTTGTATGTATTGAAAGGAAAGGTCTGACATTTTGGGAAATATTTGCTTTCTTGCTGAGAGTTCAATGAGAACATTGATACCACAAAATCCACCTACAAGCACATCAAAGGCTCACTAATCAACACACTAATTAACGTGAGTTTTGTACTTAGTACGGAAGCTGAGAATGGTTATGCTTGCAATATACTTTTTCAATTGAGTTATCTCCAGATCAGGAGTTAAGTATTTCGTTATCTTGAGACAACAAAGTTCATTTTATCGCAATAAGGGGCTATTATGTAAATTCTTAAGAAAACAAAAGGCCGATTTCTCCAGATAATGAGATAATTTAGCATGAGAAAACAACTCGTTTTCCAGAGATCACAGGATAATAATTATCCCCTTTTGTTTTCTCCAGATCAAGGGATAACTATCACTTTGATAATAATTATCCCTTTTGTTTACCCAAGATCACAGGATCCTGTAAAACAAGTCATTTTCTCGTGGTTAATTATCTTGTTATCTAAAAAAAAAAAGTCCTTTTGTTTTCTCAAAAACAACATAAATTCACACATTACCATGAGAAGACAAGCTTTGTTTTCTTAACATAACAACATAATTAACTTGTGATCTCAAGATAATGGCATTAAAAAATAATTGCAAGCTTCTGTAAATTAGATGTGTCATGATATTTGTAATATGTTTAATCTTGTTTGTCCAGGCACATTTATTATCTTTAAAATTCTTTTGTACACTTCCATTTTTCATTCTATTTAGTTTGCAATTCAAAAACATCTCATGTAGACAATGACCCTCTAATAAAGTATAAGTGACACAAGCTGTTTTGCTGCGGCATATGTTTGAAGTGAGTAAAACCACTGTAAGTAATTTGGTGGGTTATTAAATCATTGGTTGTATTTCACTAAAAAATTGTTTCATACTAATAATTGGCAGCCTGAAGGTGACTGAGCTGGATTTATAACCTGAGGATAAAATTTCTTGTGTGGATTGTGTGAGTGTGAGAGTGAACACATCACTCTCCCTTTGTTTGGTCTCACTTGTGACCAAATCCCTGCAACTGTCCCAGTGGAGCTGTTCAGATGAAGAGTGTGGTTTTACCGAGCAGTTCCAATGCATGCCCCACAGCTTCAATAAAGGAGGATAAAACTGGAAATTGAGGAACTGAAAACCAACAGCGAGACATTGGTTTAGGCATGCATGTTAAAAAAGTTAACAAAGTGCTTGCAACAAATTGCAGGACAAACGAAATGTAAACTGAAGTGCAAGCATTCCAGTGTAAGTTTAATTATTTTTCCCCTTCTTTGAGCCACTGAAGACAAACACAGAAACAATGTCGTCATTTTAACTGTTTGAGATTTCTTTCCAGCTTCTCTTTGGCAGTCCCTCAGAGGCTCACAGCAGCTATCAGTCTGATGGAAACTGAGTCCAGTGAGAGATCATCAGTTGTCTATTCACAAGTCTTATGAAACACTGAAACCTAACCAAAGATATCTGGAAGTATTTACAAAGTTGTATAATTAGATCAGTGGCTTTAGGCTGCAGTGGAAAAATATTCACGGCATAATGTAATGACAGAGAAAGAGGAGAAGGAACGGCTGGACGAGCGCTTGCAAAACATGGGCACACACACGTAGCGCACCAGAACTAGCTAATACCACACATCTTAAGATAATTAGAGAATGGAAAGGCATTTTTATATTCCCATCGGTGTTTTACTCCACATGCCTCCTCCAGCAAATGATTAATTTAAAGTTCAGGAATGTGTGGTCTCTGTTTAGTCTTCAGCTTCCCTGGGTTGTAACCCTTGACCCGCACAGATCACCAGAACACCTCTGAAAACCATCAGACATATGCTTATCTAAACCATAGAGTGTACATGCACCAGGCCCAGCCTCCTCATTATTCAAACTCCATCCATCCTTTCCTCCGTCAGAAGCCAAACTCCACTAACGGGAGACTAGTTTTTTTCATCAGCACAGACTCAAACAGGCTGGACAGGCATTTCCTGTGGGTGGGACCTGAGAGCAGAGACATTCTTGGGCCAGGCACCTCCACTTCCTGTCTCTGTTAACACCACACTGAAAGACGTACTGTCTGGACCTGCTCTTGCTTTACACTTTACTTGATGTTCTTATCCACAGTGCAAGCAGCAGTAGATTAAGTTTAAATTCCAAGATTATTAATGTTGGGTGTAAACAAGGATAAGAAGTGCGAGGTCAAAGTCACAGTGCCCAGATAATGGAGGGAACAGAACGATCCTGTGAACGTAATGCTGTGATCTGAGACTAAGACGTTAAGATACAGCTCTTGCACATGAAAGCACATAAAAAGAGCAGAAACTCCAGGAAAATATATTTTAGAGCAGGTAAAAGTGAAAGAATATGGTAGGTTCATTTGTAAGCCTTTACCAGAAATGCTTTAAAATTCAGAAATTTGTCTGCAACTGACCTGCTACTGCGTTTCTGTGTCTTAACGCCTTGTATACAAACTGTTTTATCAGTCTTGTGTGAAAGTTTAAGATGACTCCAGAAAACATGATCAAATTTACATCTGTGTTGTGTTTGCACAATTTTGAGTATTGAGAATCACGGTGAAGTCAACACATATCATTAGCTCATATCCCCAACTTATGTTTCTCTCTTTATTTACTCTCCCGTGTCTTTTTCTCTGCTGCATTCACAGGTGAAAAGCTGCAAGTTTCCAAGCCTCAAGTGTCAGGGAACGTTTTCACATTGTGTGTGTGTGTGTGTGTGTGTGTGTGTGTGTGTGTGTGTGTGTGTGTGTGTGTGTGCGCACATGCATGTTTATGCCCCGTGAGGTGTTGGTATAGGTGTTACAATCAATTGGTGTCCTCCCAGGGGTCAACAGCTGCACCAAAGTGTTGGTATTCGACAGCTGGACCATTTTGGAGAAGGAATGTGGGGGTTTGCTATGGATGAGAGGTTTTGTGTGTGTGTGTGTGTGTGTGTGTGTGTGTGTGTGTGTGTGTTGTTGGGGATCCTAATAAATGCATGTACATATGTGACAACTATCAGTTAGATATACAGTCAATTTACATGAGATGTTGTGGATGAAGTATTCAGATATTTAACTTAATAATACAATAAAAGTCCCTTCATTCAAAATCTTACTTAAATAGAAGGTACAAAGGTATTTGCATCAAATTACTTAAAGTACCAAAAGTAAAAGTACTCTTTATGCAGAATAGCCCATTTCAAAATCATATGTATTACTTGATTATAATTACTGATACATCAATGTGTTCATCATTTTAATGTTACAGCTGGGGAAGTTGGAGCTTATTTTAATTACTTTATATACTATATGCATGTATGTATGCATGCTTGTATTTTGTATTGATATTCAAAATCCTAAGCTATTAATTACTCTTAGTGAAATAAAATAAACAATATTTGCCTGAAGTGGAAGTATCAAGTAGCATAAAACGGACATACCAAAGTAAACTACAGGTACCTTAAAAATATATTTCAGTACAATACTTCAGTCAATGTACTTTGTTACATTAAACCACTAAGATGTTGATTTAAAATGATGATAGCACCATTTCCTAGCTGACACATTGGTCCTGTTTTAAGGGGATTTCCTATTTACTTGGTGACGTTACAGGTAACTGAATGTAACATGACATGTCACATAAGTAGTCTTTTTTTAATTGTCTTTGATGATTTTATACACTAGAAATACATCCTTTCCAGTGGATACTACCCTCATGCTTGTTCCCTTGTGTCTGGTTTTCTTTTTTAACTCTACAAATGTTCCTCATGGGAACAAGTAATAATCAAAATCCTTGAAACTTCCCTTGCAAAGTGATGTGATTTCATTCAGAAAAATATAATTTATGCTTTTACTGTTAAAGGCATCAGCTTCAAATAAATCACATTACCTTGATCTTACCTATTGTCATGTGTGCTATAAATCTACATCATGAGCAACAAAAGGCCAACTGCGAGTAGTGGCTTGTGATCAGATAAGCAAAATAAAGTCACTAGTAACAATATTAGGTCCTACAAAGGGAAACTGCACCATTAAAAATGTGACTGCCAAATGCGCATACAAGTTGGATTTTTATAGTTTTCCATCTCTGCCTGCAACATCATGGCATCTCATTAGGAATTTGAAATGAGGTTTGTTCTGTATTTGTGTGTTCTTGCTGCCCTCTAATGGTTCAATGTGAACAAGACGACTCCTCACAAGTCTGATAAAAACTTGCAACAACACATTTATTTAACTTGTGTTCGGAACTGTTCACATGAAAATTAACAAACAGACAAATTGTGAGTGGGTTTTAAGAGAACGGGCTTCCCCACCCATCCACCTTGGTCCTTGACAAACAAAATTCTCTTAACAGACGTGTGAGCTGTGGCCTTGCAGGGCTCAGTTTAGCAAAGCCAATTCAACAGTAATGGTGCTTACTATTTTTTCTCACATAGGGAGTAGAGAAGTTCAATCTGCTCAGCATACTCAAATCCTGGCCTGTGGGGAAAGGACATAATAGTCACGTTAAAACTGCACCTGAGCTAGTGCCTCATAATAGCATCCATAAAAAACTCCATCAGAACAGACTGTGCACTCTTCTCCCATTTTGTTCTAATCCCATTTTGTACATTAATAAAGACATGTTGTCCAGTATAAAGACCATCTCTATCCATTGTTCACAGACAGACCCCTCTGCAGTTATCTCACCGTCCAGGTGTCTCCAGTATCAGAGGGATGTTGTCCAGTCTGGGCTCATTGACAATATCTTGGAAAGCAGAGATTCCGATGTGACCTTTACCGATGTCTTCGTGGCGATCGAGGTTGCAGCCTAGTTTACCTGCGACAAAAGAAAACAAGAAAAGATAGAAATGTCAGTGAGACATCACAAAGTTGAATTTATAAAAGTCACAAGGTTCATATGACCCAATGAACTCCTCTATCCAATATGTGTTTATGATATTTTTGCATGAAAGTCCTTACGTTACCTTTGGAGTCATTGAGATGGATAGCTTTAAGATAGTGGAGCCCCACTTCCTGATCAAACTGATCAAGCATGGCCTTCACTCCTCCCTCTGCAGCCACGTCATATCCTACCAAGAAGAGACACAACACCTCAACAGGAAAGCAAACACTTGTAGCCCTAATGGCAGTTTTTATATTCTAGGGCTTCTTCTTCTTCAGATATCAAGCAGATTTTAGATTTATATCATGGAGTTTGAGCAAACTACGAATTAAAGGTTACCTGTCGTCCCTTTTGTGGGACAAAATGATTCATTTCGGGTTCCACTCACCTGCTGCGAAGGCGTGGCAGGTGTCCAGACACACTCCAACTCTGGTCTGGTCTCTCACTTTGTCTATGATGCTCTTCAGCTCAGAGAACTTACCGCCTATTGTACTGCCCTGTCCGCTCATGTTCTCCAACACTGACCACATGGAGAGCAGGGCAAAAGCAAAGAAGGCACCATCAGTCCCACACACCCATTCAACTCCAGTGTTTTCCTCAACAACCTGATACACATCCAGGCTGCTTTTGTTCATTCCTGAAGCCCAGCCTGAGGCAGCTTCTGCTCCTGCTTCAGTGTGTCTGCAGGCATTCCTCTGCAGCGTATTCTCATCACACCAGCGGTATTTGGGGTATGTGAGTCAAAAGGACTGTGGTCATTGGCATGAATCACAATTAATGCAACACCAGTGTCAAGCCTGTAGTCAGTTCCTCAAATTCAAAGTTATGCATTAACACAGAAGTCAGTCTGAGGTCAAATGATTCTGTAAGAGATGATGACGGAGGTATGGATTAAAATCACTGTGATTGCTGAGGCTTTATTTTATATTGTTATAGAGCAAATACAACCTTAAGTGTCAGTGGGTGAGTGAGGCTTGTAAGATGTTGGTGAGGTTCTTCACTGTTTGTCTTTGCCTAAGCTGTTTTCCTGTGTTTTGCATATGCAGTTGTGGTTATCTGACACTTATTTCCCTTGCTACTTGACATAATTTTGCACTCTTTGCAGCTGGTGCACCAGCACCAAAAACTATCTGGCCCCATTTTATCTCTAAGTTCCTCTCTTTCTTGGAAACAAAGACCTTTGTTAAAGCGGATAGACACACTGCTTAGTCATCTGAATATGACATGCTGGAGTAGCTGCCTTTCTAATTATGTTTTGCAGTGGTCCCTCCATAAATGCAGATGCAACAGCCACAAACACAGCAAAAAAGATGTAAAAGTGAAAGGGAAAAGTATCAAAAATATCACAAAAAATTGCATCAGTGAAAGAGTTACAGCGGTCGCAGGTTGACCCTCATTATCAAATAACCAAGTGTATTTAAACAACATTAATACACCATATAAATAACCCTTGAGTCATATCATTACCGCTGACAGTCTCAACACTTACTCAACTCATCATATTTGCTGTGGGGCTACTGCACAGCAATGGGTGTTTTTGTTATTTTGTCCACATCCTGTACCTGTGACCACAGCAGGTGTTTGCTGGTGAGCGTGGTTAATAGCTCCTGCTATCTTCTCCACACACTCTTCTGTGGTGATGGAGCCCAGGGAGGAGCCAGGGTGGAAGTTGTAAAGGTTGAGGCCCAGGAGGCTACAGCGGCTGAGCTCATCCACCAGCAGGGCCTGGCTCTTCTCAAACACATCTGGGTGCAACATGGTACACAAACCAGAGGCGGTTGTCAGAAGAGAAGATGTGACACAGTTGAAAAGATGACATAGCTAATGCAAAACAAATGTGAGAGTGAAAGAGAAAGGGAGAAAAGTCAAGGACATAATCTGCAGGATACATCCATCAGTGTCTGACAAACCTTCTTTAGGAGATCCACAGTTCATCAGGTAGGACCCATGAGGCAGGATGTGAGCAGGGTTGTACCCCTGTATGGAACACTGCTCCTGAAACTTTGCTGCAGCTTTCTGGTCCAGTGCGGGCCTCTTCCATGAGCGCTGGGAGCCCAGAAACAGGGCAAAGCTGCTGCCACCCATCTCTGTGCAGGACTCCACTGCTTTCCATATCCCACCTGGGGAGGAAGCAAAAGAAATGAAAGTGCATGTGTGTTTTTCAGAGGTGGGATCAAGTCATTGTTTTGCAAGTCACAAGTCAGTTTTAAGTATTTGTGGGTAGAGTCATAAGTCAAGACAGGCAAGTTTTTACTTTACTGGTAAAAACAAGTTTGCTGTAACAAGTGTGACTAAACTTAATCAGTAAAAAAGTAGTGCTGACAATGCACTTTCATATAGCACTATTAATCAGAACCAGATCAGAGTGAATTTTGTAAGTTTCTACTCTGTCTTGTTGGATTTAACTCATGTCAGATTGGAAAAATGTCAATAATTCCTCTTTCCAAATTGGCTTATGGGAAGGTATCAAGTATTTCCAAGTGAGAAGGCTCCAAGTCAAAGTAATGTCACAACTTTCTGGGGTTTAAGTCCAAGTCCAGATCTAAAGTCAGACAAAATCTGTGACTCAACTTCAAGTCATGTACACCTCTAGTTTTAATGACTTGAGGAGACTCTGACAACTCTGACAGGAAGACATTATGCAGTACCTTGAATGCCAACATGAGCTCCAATGTATTTCTTATTCCCACGGTCCTTTCTGCGCAGGCCTCCTCTCTCCTCAGTCTCCTTCTCTTCATTAGCCTCTGCCTCCTTTTCACCTCCCAAATCATCCTCTGTTTTCCTCTTCCTTGCGCCTCTCTTTTTTGGAGCCATGCTATCAAGAGAAAGTGTGAAACCGCAGCTATAAATATGCAAATATATGCAAAAGATTGTTTATGGCTTTAGTGGCTAATTAGAAATGTGCTTTTGGGAGGGCTATGCACCTCCGAAGCACAAACAGTGGTGCTAAGTTTGACTTGTCAAAAGTTTATGAAGGTCAAATGCGTCTTTTATGCATCCCTCCCGGCAGCAGCCAGCCACTCAGAGGGCTTCCACGCAGCTGCCACAGGCTGGCCATTGGAGACGCTTCATGCTGAGCAGCAAAATGGCCGCCCGTCAACCGACTGACTCCACAGCGCTTTGAAATTTAAATTCTTCTGCACATTAGGGTTTACACTATTACAACGTTAGTACTTATTTACGAACCAGTAGCTTGTTACGCGTGTGTTTTCATCATCTGCCACTTACTTGACTGTCCGCTCAGGCGTCGCTGTTCTTGTAGCCTCGACGAATGCCTCAAAAAGCTAAAAAAAAATCGCACTGAAGCACTTTAGCTAAGCTAGCTAGCACGCTAGCTTTTCTTCATATGTGATTCCAGAGGTGAGTAACGTTCGCTTGAGGTGTGCGTAATATGTCTCAGCCTTTTAACAGTTCATAATTTGTATGCATGCAAAATGACTGCAATATATTTGCTAATGAAATGTCACGTCAGTGCGTTTTCCAGCCAAGCTAACGCCGTTAGCTCGGCTACTTGTAGCTTCTGTCAGTCGGTAACTTAGCTAACGTTCGCTAGCATTAGCACTGGTGTCGCTGTATCTGTGGTTGTGCATTAGCAGAGGAGGATATATGGCTCAAGGCTCGGTGTATTTGCTGTTAATGACCGTTGTGTACACAGAACAGAGTAGTTGCCTAACATTTACTTACGTTGGTTGACAGCTGGTTGAGCTCGATAATTTGTTAATGTGCGCGCTGATCTGTGTCTGCGTATTTTACAAGTAAGGGCAGAAACCACTCCTTAATGTTAGCCGTCGACGAAATATTTTACCAGCAGCTGCTGTTAAACTTGTCGCCTCTGTAAACTTCCAAGTAGTTACAGGGATGAAGGTGGGTGGCTGTTAACCTCAACGCTAAACCGTTTATTGACGTTAAGCGTGTTTAATCACCTGTGTCTTCGATTTTTGTGAACGTTTTTCCCAGTTTTAGCACGAGAAAGCTCAGCTCTTCTAATGCTATAGTGTTAGCTAGCTAAATGCGGATGAGCTTGTGATAACGTTGACAGGACAACAGGTACGGTAACATTTGCTGGTGTAGTTTACATCAGTGACTTAGAGGGTGGCTTGGCAGAGCTGAATGCAGATTTGACAGCTCGTAATAACACATTACTCAGGTCGGGCTTTCTGATCCGCCAGGCCTGAGGTCAGAAATGCTTCAGGGAGGATGTCAGGTTCTTCGTATGTGAATCCCGTCAGCTGGAAGTGTTGTGGCACTATGCAAAAACGAAACCAACTAAAATCAGACACCGTCAGGGCGTAGCACTTAAGTAAGTTCATGCATTTGAACCATCTGTTCTCTTCTAAGTTAATGAACAGACGATTTTCAACATGATAACACGAGCCTAGATATCCTGTGGGGTTTTGGTTATTGTCATATTCGAATGTAACGTTACTGGTAAATTAAATGGGTGGTTTCTCTGCTACAATACAGTAGAGTGACAATATTTTCTAAGCCTATTAGACTGTAAAGCAAAGTTTGACTTACAGTGAATGCTTTAACCTGTTGGGCTATCATATTGCTACATTATTTATAGTTTTCTTTGGGAAAAAAAATCTTGTATATGAATATCGTATAAAGCATCATCATCTAACGCTATAGTCGTTCTAGAATTTTTCAGTATTTATCAGTATTGAGGTATCCACTCAGAAAGATTTGTCCATCACATTGGCAGACTGCTTTACATTGTTATATTGGGAATTTAAAATGACAGTGCATAATTTGGTGTTCTTGTGTTGCACATGCTTCTTGTCTCACAGCTGTTAAAGAGCCTAATCTGAAGTATTTGCTCACACTCCATCTTAGAAACACTTAAAGCATAAGCATGGGTCTCAGATCTTTAGTCGACCACTTGTTATTGCTTCTAAAGCCACATTCAGACTCACTCGGTCTGCTGACAAGATGAGTTGTTGGCTGACTTAATCAACCCCCAACACCATCTAAATTGGTTGGACCTACCAGTGTGATCAGCTTACGGAGTGATGTATGCGTATGATAGGGATAATTACTGTGTTTGTTGCCCACATGTCCAGCATTATTCTTAGCTCAAGCACCTGATGGCTGCTGATTCCTCCAATTGAGCATGCAGTCCATTGTCGCTTACACACATGGATGAAGGCTCACGTGGCCACGAGCCTCCATCCACAGTGCGACTGTTATAATGTCTTTTATCCTTTGATTCTTGCTTCAGTCATCATTAATTGTTGGTCTGTGTGTTTTGAGCAGTGGTTTACTCTATGGTTAAAAGCCACTGGCTATACCAAAAAGCAATCAGTGATTTTAAAATGGTGAATGAGTGGCCGCATTTTGGAATACCCCTCTTGTTTTTTTCTCTAGAAGAAAGGAGTATTGGGACAGGAGCAGTAGTTCATGGAAGACAAGAAAAGGAAAAAAGACGAAAAAAGGAAAAGGGAAGCCTCTCAGAAGGTGAGCATGTTTAAAATGACTTGCAAGCTCCCCTATCTAGGTTTAACACCACTGAAAAACACTCCATTGCCTTGCTCAACAGCAGTTTGAGAACAGATCATTTTATATTATTTTGAGAGTATATTGTTGGACTTACAGTTTATGATTAGATGCGAAAATCTTGGAACTGAGTTAGGATGATACTGCATTTATATATTCTAACTTCAAGGTTGTATTGAAAGGACTTCCACAATAGTCCCACTCCAATAGAACATATGCATAGATAAACCTGGATGTGTAAATGAGAATTTTTAAGGGTCTCAACTAACTTGCACCTGCTGGAGGCACACGTACCAACAGCACTTACAATTGTTGACAGTAGCTGATTTATTTGGTGGCACAGAATGAATGAATTGTTGTTGAACTGTTGAGCTTGTTGCAATTAATTTTGTCATTCTCAAGCCACCATTTGGTAAGAGTATAGATTTAATTCCCATCTATATCCTATCATATGTTGGTTTATGACAATATGAGTACATAGTCATATTGTTATACATTATATGATGCTGTCAATTGTTCACCTCAAATAGTTTTATTATTTGGGAAGGTAGAGCTATGTCATTTTAAAATGGAGCTTTATTATTCTAAAAGGGACTTACGTTTCTTTTAACATGTGGATAAAGTAAATCCTCTTTGGAAACAGGTCATTGCATTAAGCACAAATCTGAAAAATGCAATTAACCCCAGGAAGTGTTTTAGGTTGCACTGTTTTGACAATTTAAAATAACACGAAAAGAAGACCAAACCGTGACAATTGTAATCAGTGTTTGGATAACATCTGTCAGTGTTATGAGAATACTGTTTAAAACCTGACAAGTCTCAACAACATGATCTATTTATTATCCTGGCGCCCCTAGACTCAGATGAAACCACAAACACAGATTTCATTCTTGTGAACCCTTATGTCTTGTCTTATACTTATTTTTCATCTTAGCCCAGCACATGTTTTACTGATGTTTGACACTTGTGTCCTCTTTGAAAGAATGATTCAGTAACTAATGTGTTTTTTTCCTCATCATTTTAGGTCACAGAACAAAAAAACAAAGGTGAGCAGCACAGTGATGTATGTATGTATGTTAAGATATACTGTGGATGTCATGCATTTGCTTATCTTATCTCTTTTTTGACATTTGATTTTTTTATTTTCAGTTTTATTGAGTATTTTTGTCCAAATGGATTATGATAGTATGTAAATTGAAGTTATTGGATTTTACATTTCTGGCATAACACTTTATGGCTTTTCTTAATTGGCCTTTGCAACACTTTGATGTTGTAGTTTTGGGGGGGGAAATAAGCTGAAAGCAACACTCATGAACCCAAAATAATCTGCATTAGGGAATTCTATGTAGCATCTTCCATTTCCTAATCTGTTTCATACAAATATATGGTTAGTGCTCACATTTACAGATTTTCTTTTGTACAGATTTCTCTCTTATATAACACTTTTCATCTCCTCCGTTTCTCTCTCTGCCCTGCCCTTCCTGCAGTGCCAGACTTGACCAAGCCGGCATCTGCCCAGTCTCCTGCCACTCAGAGCAGCTCTGCCTCCCCCAGCCCTGGACCCACCCCCTCTGCCTCCCCATCCCCAGCCACCTTGGGCCCTGGCAGTGCTGCCACCCCGTCACAGGGCGGCAACAATGCCAAGCGCCTGGCGGTGGCTAACGGACAGCCCACCTCCACCACCATTTCTTCCTCCACCGCTGGCGGCTCCAGTGCTGCCGGAAACGGCAGTACAAGTAGCGGAGGCGGAGCCCAGGCGCCTCAGCAGCAACCGCGCTACATGCCGAGAGAAGTGCCGCCGCGATTCCGCTGCCAGCAGGACCATAAAGTGCTACTGAAGAGGGGTCAGCCGCCACTGTCCTCCATGCTGCTGGGAGGAGGAGGAGGAGGGGATGGCCCCAATGCAAACATGGCTGCTGTCTCAGGTAGGTGTTAATAATGCTGTAGGTCACATTTAAAATTGATTGAATTCTACGCAAAGATTATTTCGATAATTTCCTTTTGACCCCTAAGTCTCTTTTGTGGGATTCGCTTTTTCAGATTCTGGTGCAGCTGCCTCCTCATTGGCCCTCACCTCATCATCAGTTGCTGCTTCTACTACTACTTCTAATTATGCAAATTCCATGTGGGGGGCGAGCTCAGGCAGCCAGGCCTCCTCTCAGGGCAGGGAGAAGGTGATTGTCGATGGCAACGACCTGGAGGAGTGGCCTAGCATCGCTGGCAGTGATGGGGGAGGAGCTTCTTTCACCACCGCTGGAGGAGGCAGCAGCAACAACGGAATGCCTGTGAACAGCATCAGTGCCTCTGGCAACCAATCCTCACCCACTTCCTCGTTCTCTTTGCCCAATGAATGTATGCAGTCGTCCAATGGTGTGGCGTGGGGGATGACTGCCTCCCAGGGTCATCTTGGAGGAGGGAATGCAGTAGCTGCAGCTGGGCCTCTGCTACAACAGCCCTCCTCACTTTCCAAAGCCTCCACTGTGCCAGGGAGCCATGATGCCAGTGGCCCCGTTGACGGCAGCAGTGGGATTCCAGGTGCCAACTTCAATCCAAATGCCAACCCTTCGGCCTGGCCTGCCCTGGTGCAGCAGGATGGGCCCACTGCTGCAGTAGAAGGAGGTCCGTCTTCCTTCCATCACCAGGGCCCTGGAGGGTCTTTGTCTGCCAACAACTCTGCTTCCCTGGGCCTTGGGCTGGGAGGCGGGGCAGTCGGGGTGCTGGGGGGTCACCCAACTTTATCTGTGAATCAATCAAGTACCCATCAGCGGCAACTTCACCAAATGCAATCCAGAGACAGAGAGATGGGAGGGGGGAAGTGGGACAGCGAATCAGCGGGACCAAAAATAGCAGGGGGAGAAGGGA